ATCACAGTCAATCGCAATAATGCACCAAAGGCGAAGCGACGCGCGGCTGTCGCTCTGTGACGCCACGTTTGCCAAGGAAGATCCAACTGTAGCAGGAAACGAAGGGCTTCTGTTGGCATTTCAATAGGTCTATGCACAAATGAACCTTGAGCCCATTGATTTACTCGGATCGATTAGGATTACTCACGCAGGTCCTGAATATTCACCGTAATGTTACGAGATATTGAGATTGCCTCGAGGACAAAGCAGTTAAGAAAGTAGAAGCTTCAAGTATATTTCGTATTTTATTCCATTCTTTTATTTAGAAACAAAATATATTACAGTACAGCTCTCACGACTGTTGCCGCGACCACCAAGTTACATGTATCATCAGTTGCTAGGAATCTGGCACTCATGACGTAGGGGCGGAGAGAGTCGCTTCGAGAAATCCAATTGCGAGTGTGGAGATAACTCTCCGCGCCCCCTGTCGCGTGACTCGATTGGTGGGCGTGAGCGCCCCAGCCAATCAGGTGTGCGCCTTCGAATCTGACCACTCAGACGAGAGTGCCAGGTTCGCTGCAACGGACGGTACACAGCGGCAAGAAGACTTCCACTCAGGATGCTCGCATCCATAACTATAGAACAGTTGATGTTATTGGTCGAGCCACGTGACGCAGAAAGCATACGTAACAGAATGCGACAGACTGAGATGTAACAATCAGTTTCTGAGCTGAAACGAAAGAACCGCGATCGCGCTTCTCCAGTATACTGCCTAAAAGTTTATCCCTCTTCCTAATTATTTATATCTATTTTTGTTAGTAGCTTAAAAATGGAAGAACAGAACGATTGCACTATTTAGAATATTTTTACGTAAAAATAGAAAAGCGTCATTCAACTTCTAAGCTGAAACGGAAGAACCGCGATCGCATAGCTAAAGAAATTTCCGACCGGCTTTTAGCAAACCCGTGGCACACAAACGATTAAAAAGAATCGCGTCATAATCTACGAGAGATACGTATGCAACTGTTCTAAATTATACAATAATTGATTGAATTAATTCACCGATGAAATAATATTTGGATGCGGCTCACAGCGGTTTGTCAAGAGTATTTAACCGCAACGCGCTTTCCTTTACCCGAGTCCAATCCGCACACGAAGATCCGGTGCGGTTTTGTTCCTCTGTAGGTGTCGTATTTAGTTAGGTTCACATATGTAACGAGGTGGAAACTAGAGATCGCGCGTAACGCCTACGCGGTGTCCGGGGCGAGGGAAGACACCTCTCGCATTCGGTAGCAGCGCCGGGCAGCGGCGGACGCTGTTCAATGCATTAATCCAGCAAATTTCGAATTTCGAAGTGTTGCCCTTTGATCTTCGTGGGCGAGCCTATACCGTGTACATAGATTCGAACGGGATTGGTGGATTTGCACCTAAAGCGCCGCTGTATTTGCCCGCAAAGGGAGATTCGATTGAAGACGGATGGAGTATGCAGATGGGGCGCAACGCGCGCGCTCAGTGATTCGTGGTTTCCCAATGTCCGAAAATGACGCGGGCATTGTTCGCGTGTGTCCCGTTGGAAACGATTACGCCCGATCACGTTTTTGCACGATAGACACGCAGAACATACACTGTATCTATACAGAAATAGATATTTGGTTGTAGAACAATCGATGAAATAATATGATACACCGCATGAAAATTCATGTTAGGATTCAGGGAATTGCGTTGAATCGAACGACCGCGAAAAAGAGAAATAATTCAAGTCGAATCAAAATCGCGTGAAAATAGAGACGGATATACGTGCATCGGGGTTTTGTTTCACACGATCTTTGTTATGAGAAGTATTCTCTCGAAATTGTTGGAATTATTTGAATGTTTAACGCTAAAACGATAGGTAAATTGATATACTGAAATTTCCTCTGTAGAAAATCCAAGAGTGCATATATTGGAACTTTAATTGATTTACCATTCAGTTTGCGTATTGCTAAATCAATTTCTTTAATCATTTCTGAGAGAAATTTCTGTTATATTTTAATCATTTCAAAAGAAAGAAATCGGGAAATCAGTTAATTGCTAGAAGCACCGAATGATTCACTTATTATTATAACCCTATGCACTCTAGAGGTGACTCTCATTCGCCCCTTGATTTAATATAACAAAATTGTTAAATCTTATAAAGAATATTAAATTTTGTGTAATGCATCAATACATGAAGCGTTGAAGCAGAATATCTTTCTTACTGACTTGTTCTCTCATTACTTAGTCGCAAACAATGTCGTTCATATCTCATCGGAAAATGTTGAGTATATCCAGTGAAAAACTTTCGACTGCAAAGGAATAACAACTCGAATCTTTACGAGGAAATGATCATATTGTCAATTTAATACACAGGTAAAGGTGCACACGTTTATTAACCATAATATTGGAGAACAATGAATACCATCAAAAGCGTGATTTGTCTTTTAATTCTCCGGCAGTAAGAAATTGAATTCGGTGAAACAACGTTCTATTATTCGTCAGCATATATACCTGACAAATGTTCCCGTCCCTGGTTTCCATACATTTAACCAACAAATACTCCACGGGTGGGTCCGGTGTTCGACGGCGCGCGCTAAAAGCCGCGTTAACGGAAGTTCATAAAGACTAATATCCCCACGCAACTTGTGCCCCAATAAAAGCTAACGCATTTGCAAAGGCGGAGGGTAAACTGAAACATAAACAGCGGCCACGCCGAGCTCGAACATTCGAAGGGTGCGCGGCGGAGAGGGAGCTTCTGTAAACCGAAACCCGAAAGTATCAATATTCGAGAACCATTAAAAAATCAAAAAACGAAGTCTCTGGAAGTAATTACCTCGGCAAACGAAAACTCGACAGAAAAGTGTACACTCGTGCAATTTCTCCGTTAACGAGGAAAAAAGCTGATACAAAATGTTCAAACCAACATCGAACACTGATTCCGAGAGATTCTTACAACTCCCACTGTCTTCTACCTCCAGCAATAATACCGACGAGAAGCAGAAGAATTCAGACTACACCATTAGAAAACCAACTGAGTAATTTCCCCAAGTCCACCCAGAAAACGAAACATAAAACAACCACCAAGCGTCCATCTCAAAGTTCGAAACTCTCCATTATACCTGAACGTAGCCACAGGAACGGCGGAAATTTGCCCATAAAACTGTTACCATTTAAAAAACAAAGGTACTTACCCATATGGTAGAGCACCAAGTTGTTCGTAGTCCTATTATACTTCTGGAAAGCCCGGTTCGTTGGCGCGAACACGGTCACGTGACGGTACATCAGGGTAGAGTTGGCCACGGGGCTGGCCTCCAGGAGCTGATAAAACTGCAACAAAAGGCAAATGAACGCCGTTAGTTATCGCGTAAACGTCGCAATGTCTAGCCAGGCGTGATGCTTGAAACTTCCCAGCCCACGTTCCCTCTCCTCGTCGCAATTAGACAAGGAAAAGGGAATCGATTTCCCGTCAGCCGAGGGAAGGGGGACAGGCAGGACAGCGGACGTATTTTCGCGCGGGGTACTAATACGCGGATCAAGTCACGGCGGATTAAGTGCGCGACTGTACGTGCCGAATTAGTGATTCACGTTCCGAGCTGCGAGGGCAAAGGCGTTTAATCCGCCGCGTCGAATCAAATTTCCCGGGGTCTTTCGTCTGCTCTCAGCCCCCAACGCCGAAAATTTGCACAAAGGAAGCTCGTTAGTTATCAATGCGTAATTAACCCTGGCCGATCCGTTGCAGAGTGTCGGGCCGAGCGACGAGTTCGTTCTTCGCGCGCGAAATCGCGAAGACAACGGGGGAAAAAATGGTAAACTAGGAACGCGCGGAGACGAATACGTTTTTACGCGGAAACGGAATTACAGAGGACCTTTCATTAGGCTCTTGGAAACGTTCGTCGACTTCTTGCTGGTTATAAGCCGAGAGTCTTACGGCTCCTGAGAAATTTCAGCCGGGGACGCGTTGCTTGGAGAAGGTGAAAATAACGGTGGTTGAAAATACTTGCAGTGCTTTCATAGAGGGTGACTCGCTTAGGTTTGATATAATAACAGCGGGCCCCCTTCTCTCTCTTGGTTCTTGCTTTAGTTTTGAAAATCCTTTGACAGCCCTCGCGTTTCGAGAGAATCGTTTTCTTTGGACTTTCGTTTTCCTTCTTGGAAGTCTTGATTGGTAGTCCGCCGATTTCAATGTAGTTTGGGGTGGAAACGTTTGTTTGACACTAAACCTACCGGGTAGTTACATTGACTTTTTAAAATTCCTCTATAGCAACTTCAAGAGTGCATTTATCGAGACTTTCATTGATTTATGATTCAGTTTGCGTATTGATAAGTCGCGTATTGCTAAATCGTATTGAATAATTTCTCAGAGAAATATCTGTTATCTTTTTAACCCTTTGCACTGGAGAGGTGACTCTCACTCACCGCTTGATTTAATACAACAAAACTATGAAGTTGAATATTTAATATTTTAAATGAAACTTTATATTGCTATATGAAATACTGAAATAAAATAGCTTTGTTGCTTAATTTACCTGTGAATTACCGTTAAATTAGTTTCAAACAATCTCGTCTATGTCTTATCAGAAAATGTTAAATATTTTCAGTGGAAATCGATCAAAGTGTTAATAATTTCAAAAACAAGTCAGGAATGGGTCACTTTGACACGTCTGGTATAGTGTTGAAGCTGTTTTGAGAACTAGTTGCTTTCACTTTTCTTTTCTCTCGTTGTAAATCTCGATTGTTAATCTAGCAATTTTAATGTACTCCGGTTTAACACGATTCATGTACAGCTGAATTCTACTTCTTGATTCCAGCGAGTATACTTTTGTCAAGAATGCTTTTTACAGTTTCTAATCATAGGACAAATGGAAGGATTGACGCACACAGGAGAATCGTCTAGCTCTGTCAAAGAGAAGAAGTGAAATTTTACGAAGAGAACTTTAACGGTATGACGTGGATACATTGAATACAGTGCAATCCTTTTTCTCAGTTCGAATTCACGGTTTCTCTCTTTAAAAGCAACTGCTGTGCTCCACCGGCTGGGAAGCCGCGGATGCTCTGGCTTTCACGATTCTATATCAAATTGTTGCCAGTGGAATAGACTTTGATTTATACAACTTAGTTTGCTTTGAGTACCGTACCTCTCGGCGCAATTTCAAAGGGGATTCCGACTCTTTATCCGGCGTTATTCTATGCTTCCCGCTAAGCTATTTATTGACTTCTTCTCCCGCGAATAGAGCGGGTTCCGCAGAGACGCATGTTCCCGATGCAAGGTCAAATTCAAGGCGATTTTCGTGACCGGAATCGAATCGACGATATATTCGTCGGTGCACAGAGAAAATGTTACTCTCGGATACAAGAAACAATGATAATGGCCTCGTGAAGTATACGGTTGCATGATCTACAAAGGGGGATCTTTCTTTTATATGCATGTTATCTTCAATTTTGCTACGTGTATGCATTAATAAAAATGGAAATTAATCTTTTATATTATAATATCTAGTGGAACTCGTGATACAATTTTCAAATTGAATTTCAAATGTATGAACATTATTTCTGTCTTTCAAGCTGATATTAAAACTTACTTTCCCTTGTCTTTTAATCTTTATGGTAAATATAGACTAACCGAATTAAGGTGGGATTATCTTTTTAGGATTGTCTTTTATAGATAATTGTTAAATATATAACAGCTTCAAAGGTAGTTGCGAAAGTAACCGCGAGGAAAGAGGTTAATGTACCTTAACAAAATATCATTGGAATTTAAAAAGATGAATTTCTATTTATAGAAATTGGAAAATTCATCTAATCGTTTGAATTATAGACGCAATGTCAGATTCGAAATGTCAGATAATAGGTAAATGTTTCCAGTTAATTGTGGAGTACATGCGATTATGAAGCACCCTCGAGAAATGCATCGTTGATAATTGTCGATCTCGTGGACCGGATTATTACATAACGAGCTAACAAGATTTGTCAATTTTTTGCGCGATAACGCAGGGCCAGCAGGCCAACTAATTATTTTTCTCGTCTAACAAGCAACGACCAATTGAATTTGTAGTTAAATCGATTGATGGGCGGCCAAGGTTGGACCCAGCTATTAGCCAGTTTAATTAGCATGTCCCAAGGGTCCGGAAATAGGGCAGCCGTAACGACGTTTACCAGCGTCGTCGCAACGTTCGAACGTGTACGCCGAGTTTGATGACTCGGAAAACTTTGAAACATTAAAGAAACTCTCAAGATGCTAAAAGTTTGTTAAACACAAGAACACTAAAAAAAAGAAAAATTGTACCTGTGCTCTCGCGATAATTAATAAAACTAAACTGTTTTAGTAGTCAGAGTGATTTCCTTTCAGATTACACAAATTCCGAAATATTCTCTCAATAAAAAATACCTTTATCGTTTACGATTTCTGTAATTACGACTGATGATTGATTCCTTTAGAGTCTTCCTTGAGAGATATATAATATAAAAATTAGTCTAACAATAAATCGTCGTCGGAAGATGTAATAACAACGATGAAATGAGGTTGGTTAGACTACCGAAATTCAGATATTGCAAATGGAGTGACAGTAACGTGTGCAGGCCTCGAGGAAACTCCGTAAACAGTTCAACAGGTTCAAAGCGGAATCCTGTTCCGCGTTGATACTTGTTTCTCCTGAAAATAAAATGGACAGACGTGTAAATTGCATCGGATACGTAAGTAGATTTCATCGTTCAAATTTTGTAATGCCTCGAGCCGGTGAAACAGACTTTAGAGAGGAGAAAATCGAGGTACAAATGGAATCAAGGTGATTCTTCCTGCGCAGATAAGATGAGATCGTCGAATCGTTCTCCGCGAAGCAATATGCATCGAGTTTTATGGTATCGATACGGGGACGCTATTTCCGAGATTAAGATTTGCCATATAGCTGCTGACCCCGGGGTAAAAACATTTGATAACCCCACCAACTGCAGTTTTAATGAAATGGATCACGACATTCAGTGATTCAACATTTATATGCATCTGAACTATCAATTACTGTTACTTATTTACGCGAGATCTTTATTTTAATTAATTTCCGATGCATTGAACTGTAACAACGACTTTAAACAGAATCACAAAATTTTCACAATTTGACAGTCATTATCTGTTTCTTTAACATTAAATCTACCAAGTAGATAACCGACTTTTTGAAATTCTGTAGAAACTTCAAGAGTGCGTCCACTGAAACTTTAATTGATTTATAATTCACTTTGCGTATTACTAAATCGATTTCTCGAATAATTTCTCAGAGAAACATCTGTTATTTTTATAATAGCAAAATGAAGAAATCAGGAATGAGTAATTTTGAGCAGTCTGGTAGTTTTAGTATTAACGAGATACAGAATTACGAATTCGATGATTGTAAATTTTAAATCTTTTCTGAAAGCAGATACTAATTTTCACTGTTTCTACTAGGTTCGGTTAATATTAACTAACCACGGAAGACTAGAATTCCCGTTAAGTCTATTTTGAAGAAGAAAATGGATCGAATGATGCCTGAATGAGATATAAGTGTGTTCAGTATGGGATACAACGGCGAGTGAATTTATTATTAATATTCACGGCAACGTATAGTGGAGTTGGTGCATGTTAAGTAGTCCACGATGAGATAATTGGCAATGTGAATTCAGACCGAGGTCTATTAGCTGCGGAACCCGTTCGACGAAGCTGGCAGGAAATTTCAGATTAATTAGTGGAAGCTGAACTAGGATGCGGTCGATCTAGGGAGCCATATATTCCATAATGATCAGTCCGACTTCGAGTTGCGCAATAATATTGCGGTATCTGTATCCGTCTATAGGAAACGCTTTGCGGCCGTGTCCAAGCAAATGAAGATTCTGCTTAATGTTCCGTTTATGTTTACAAGTCATACGGAAAGTGTAGATTCTGTGGATTCTGGACAACATCATTTGTAATATTTAATACTAAACATATTAGACGTGTCAAAACGACACATTCCTCATTTCTTCGTTATGCAATTAATAACCCTAATCGTACACGTGTTTTTATAACGAATCATACCATGACGTGACTCTCAGTCATTTCTGAGAATAAAAGAAATGTTTAAAATGTTATTGTTTTTGTTTAAAAGGCCCAAATTTTAAGAGACCAGAAAAACTTTTGGAAATGCAGTAATGTGCAATTTTTTGATTATGAAATGATCAAAAAATTTAAGTAAAAAGTTCAAATGTGATTCAAAGTCATATCGTGGTCCGATTAGGGTTAAAATGATAACAGTTGTTTCTCTGAGAAATTATTAGAGAAATTGATTTAGCAATACGCCGATTATAAATCGATGATAGTCTCAATA